TTTTTTTTTCATCAAAAATTTTCTCCTCTTACTTTTCAGAATAATAAACGGAAAATACTCATCAAGAGAAGGGAAAGATAGCTCAGACTGTTGAAAAAGCTGATCAGAGACGAGATAAGCGTGGGAAATCTTAAGAATTCACAAAGATTTTATCGAAAACAAGTGAAACCTACTTTGCTATCTCCAAGATTTGCAACATATAAAGCATCATTGAGCAACAGGACACAAGTAGCTGTGGTGCCATCTTTCCAGGTAGGCTTACTAAAACATAGATAAGGCAAAGAGTTGGCTGGTTAGAATAAAACCCACTGTTTTCTAGCTTCATTCAAGAAAGCCTCGTCAACACTTCTGAACGTTTCGGTGAAGGTTCGCTTCAGTTGCTTTTCCAAGGAAGTGAGGTCGCCAACTACAAATGAACTCATAGCAAAGATAATAAAGAAAATAAAGAAGTACTGTTAAGTCAGTGGTTCCTCCTAAAGCCCTACGAACTTACACGAACTCAACTTTTTCTTCAAAGTAGAAGGAACATGCTCCTCGCAATAGTTTGCTGCTCGAGCTCCTGCATGTCCATCGAAAATCGCATACAGGGCACACCGTTTACTGAATATGTATAGGTGTATATGACAAAGTAGATGTGCAGAGACCAACTCACACAAAAGGCAATTCTAAATCGAAATCGTGCAATAAGAGGTGAGCGTCTTGCATGTCATCCCTCTGGCCTTGTCGACAACCAAGCACGGCAAGCCTCTCTAGTGGACTCACATCTGAACAAGAAAAAAGATACCATAGGGCGATGTTTCAGTCAAAGAAACTCCCAAGCATACTCAATACTTTATCCTCTGTCTTATTTGGAGGCACGACTCAAACGGACGGAAAGTCCCAGGTGGCCGGTAGGGTGCTAATCGCCGACCAAAAGCTACTTCGCGCCTACTCTGACAAACAAGCGCAGCAAGGAACGACTCCCTGCCCTATAGCTAAGCATAACTATTTTCCTGGTGCAGGAGAGGCGGCGGAGTCGCCTCCAACGAATAAGCTT